GTGTCGGGAAGGTGAGCATCATAGAATGCCAATTTAATAGAAGAAAGTATTCTTGTGTTGAGGGAGTACTTGAGTGGAGGCCCAATGTCCTTCGACCAGGCAGTGTTTTGATGTGTTGTAATTAGTAGGGTCGCTTTGTGTCAGAGCAGACATGAGAGCCCCTAATTACAGCAATATCTAGGATATTGAACTTTTCTTTTCATTGACAATTTCTAATTTTCCTAGATTCATACTTTGTGCATTCCATTTTCTGATTATTAATAGATTTTTGCAGCTGTTTCTTCTCATTTTGAATTGTGCCACATGAAAACTTTGTTCCATTCCTGTCCTTAGGTTGGTGATACTTTAGGGTAGCAATTCTTCCTCAGTCATATTTTGAGTTTCTTCCACCTAGAGCTGCACACCTTCAAGATTTACATCAGACAGTGTACTGCTGCGATTCAGAAAGATTTTAGTGACCCATTTTTCAAGTGGCCCACCTGCTCTACCTTCCTATCATATTTTACTCCAGAAATTCCATTGCAACTTTTCCAACCATGCTTAACCTAATTGGTATTTTAAATAGAGGTGGCATATCATCCAGCATCAGAGAAACACAAAAGCCAGCACAGTAAACAAATACACAAGTAGTGGATAACTTGTCCAAAAAAAGGTAATTGTGAAACACTTAATTATGTTTCACGCTGCCAAAAAATTTTAGAAGAGATTACTAGGGAACTGACTGGAAGAGATCCATGTTTATGCCCATTCACAGGAAAGGTGATCCAAAATAACACAGAGACTATCCAGCTATATCCTTAATATCACGAATATTGAACATACCATAGATTGTCAGCAAAATAAACATATCTATCTTGGAACAAGTATGCTTTTAGAAGGAAGAATGGCAAAGCTTTAATTCCTGTAGCAGAGAAAGTTCCTGCAGAAAAACATCCATACTTCATAAAGTAGAGGGTCACTGAAATGAGGAAGACCTTGTGCTCGGCTGGGCTCAATAGATAACAAAATCCAGTGACACTCATATGCGTACATGCAAAAACTACATCATCTAACTACCACAGACTTAATTAGATGAGTTGAAACAATAGCTGGCTGCATTCATGAATGGATTACAATACAACAGTGATTGTGAGGATAGCGTATGGACAGGTAATGTTTCATTCTGTTGGACATGCTCAGGTTAAAGAGATAAAAATTACAAACATTAAATTTCAAGTATGTACATTTTAAAAAATTGTTTAAATTGCAGTTCATACAGGAGCCTTCAAAATCTTTATGGAAATTTTAATTTTCTTTTAATTACACTTTATCTACCAGCGCAGAAAATTTTTTAAAAAATTATTTTAAAGTATTTCTATTTTCCTATAAAAAAACTTGGGTGGTGATGATGGATGGGTGTTGAGTTATTCATGGGAAAGAAGACCGCTCAAATATACCACTTGCTCTTTGAGAAAAAAGATGAAGCACTCCGATCCCATAAAGTTTTACAATCTTGAAAACCCTATATATAGGGTTATTATAAAATTGAATCAACTGGATGGCAGGACTTTGGGGTTACAGTTTTATCCTGCTGTAAGGGAAGACATCCAAGGGAGGTTTTGTCAAAAACAAAATTGCTAAACTAGACCATATCTCTCTGTTTTGTTCAGCAAAGTTAAGATAACCCCAGCACAATTGTCAACATAAATTTGAGTCCTTTATCTGATCCATAACCATGGGCAACTATAATTACATGAAATAAATAACTGAAACTCTTAAAAAATATATATATATGTTTTTCTGTTTCTCTTTCTGTGGTCAATTCAGAATACGGAAAGAATGTACCCCAA